GTTGCTATTTACGTAAATCACGTAACGAGTGTTACGGTAGGTCTAGCATTGCCCGGAAGCACAATGGGTGCCGTGGCCGTAGTGGTCCCGCAGCGCCAGTGAGTCCCTTTTAAGGGCATGTACAATCGTTCCGACGCTGGGTGTCCGTAAAACTTCTCCACGTCACGTATATACATGTAACGGACAGCCTATACAGCAGGGAGTCTATTTGACTGTCGCTAATCACCAAATTTCACGGGAAAGGAGGGAGGTGGTTTCCGTGGAAGATGGGATCCCATCAGACGATGCTCTCGTACAACGGGAAATAGACTGTCGGTAATCAGCGATTTTCACGCTAATAGACTGTCGTTATTTCTACCGACGGACTGTGCAGTTTTTTTCTTATCTCTCCCCCACATCATCTAATTTCCTACGTGGCATGTGTTGCAGACAGCTGACTAGACACTGTTGTACATGCCCTAAGGTACTCGTCGGGGACCCAGCGGTGTAGAACCGCGCGTTGATAATTTTTCGGCTGCAGTTGTTGATTCGCCAGTCTGGCCCGGTCTGGCACTCCCCTTTCCACCTCGTTGGCATCGGTCCGTACCCTACATCGCTGAAGCTTCTTGACTCGGGCCAGATCCCTGGATTATCCATTAACCGATTAGTATATTAGTTAGTGGCCGGCTTTCAATCCATTAACCAACTAGTATTAGTGAGTGGAGGGCCAAGTAAAAGTAAGCTGAATGGTGCCAATTAATATAATCACTTTTTCTCAAATATGCATGACTGTGCATATCATATATTAAAGAAGCAAAGGCGTAGATAGCCTTCACCGGTCATTTACAAGTGGTGTGATTTCTCACAATCGTATATACAACTCCACACCACTTAGTACCACCCGAATACTCCTCGCCACTAATCCACCTAGCTAAGCCCGCAAACACAAATTCCATGTTTCCTTTCATGAGACCGGTCATCGACCAAATCCGTCCTTCCGCTTCAATTTTCTGCATGAGGCTACCCGTCGATGGCGAAGCACCATCAAACACAACTGCATTTCTATGCTTCCACAACTCCCACAGTGTCAGTAGCAGTATAGTGTGCAAATCCTTCCTTGCCATGGTGCCTGCTGCTTGTTTTCCACATAGCCATGGCATGAGGGCATCCTGCGCTGATGGCGTCCACTCTGGCTTCCCTAGTGCCCTGCAGACCACCATCCAAATCGTCCTGTCGAAGCCGCATGTTAGTAACACATGCTCGATTGTTTCCTCCTCTTGATCACAAAGAGGGCATTTGTCCTGATGCGGCAGCCCCCTCCTAGCAAGTCGGTCGGACGTCCAGCATCTGTTTCGTAGTGCCAGCCACGCGAAGAACTTGCATTGTGATGGAGCTCGCGATTTCCAAGTTAACTCCGTGGAGGGAATAACCAAGTTTGTTGGAACTTTCATTGATTGAAGTCAGACTTTATAGCGTATGACCAAGTTTGTTGAAAACAATATGAAAAATTACAGTAACAAATTTATATGGTGTGAAAATATATGCAATGATGAATCCAATGATATATATTGGTGGTTTTTATTTTAATATATTCTTCTACAAACTAGTTGAAAGTATATAAACTTTAACTTTAGACAAACCTAATACATGGAGTAACTAAAATCGGAGGGAGTATGTAGGATGGCGCGTGGGGCCGGCTGGCGTTGGCTTGCAGGCATGACACGTCATACCACAGACGTTACGGTCATTATGCTTACAAACAGAACCTCTATTTAGTATTTGTGTCACGCTGGACTAGATATAAGCACGGGAATTCTAATTCAAACCAGAATTACCATTTGGTTTCCATCCTGATAGTTTTTTTTCCGCTTGTTGATACAACAAAAAATTAACAAATGCGTTTATTTTTGCAATCCATCCTCTCTTCGGTAATACAATTTCAAACGCCTCGTCTCGTCACACACACACACACAGAGAGAGAGAGAGCCCACATGTGGGGTGACATGGATACCTAGTCACTGCCATATAGCTCTGATTTTTATTGCAAGTGAGGTGATGGGATTTACATTTTATTATGCAACATCCGCATAGAAATCCTGATTTGTAATCCGGGCCGCAACTGGAATCCTCACAGTATGTAGGTCGTTATGCCAAGTAAGACTGCCAAACGTGTAGTCCCCTTGCAAGTTCCACATAGGTGACAGCTTCACATCAAACTTTTGAACTTTGTTCGCATTGTCGAACACAAGAACAGGTGGGAAAACCTCCATCTTGACTCCGTCTGGGCTTTGCACTATGGCATGATACACTGAATGGACATCGCCGACATTTGTCACCATCCTTGGGATGGTGATCGGACCCCTCAGGTCGGGAACTGAAATGGACGGCAAGTTGAGGTTGTACGCCAGTAGTGTGGCGTTGCAGCCCACGGATGTCGATGTCCTCTGATTGATGATTGCACATTGGAAGAATTTTGTTGTAATCGCGTGGATTAATGTCGTAAACCAGTCCTGGATGGGCTGCCCTGGAAGGGTTGATGTTCCCACCTCCATAGTCGAACGGGCCGGCCACCTTCCCTGGCAGTCCTTCCGCCAGTATTGACATGCCGCGTTGATCAGTTACACAGGCTTAATTAATTGTACCATGCAAGCAAAACCAATAAAACAGAGGTAAACACCACAAGTGCATGAACGAACTAGCTAGGAACTGGAAGTCCTACATGCACGAACAGAGTTATAAATGGTTTGTTATTACGAACCAGTGGTGACGATGGCTGATTTGATTGCAGCAGAAGACCAGTCTGGGTGCATAGCTTTAAGCAGCGCGGCAACACCTGTTACATGTGGTGCTGCCATGGACGTCCCAGACATAGTTTCGTAGGAGTTTCTGGCTGCTGCCAAGATGTTGGATCCAGGCGCAGCTATGTCAGGCTTGATGAAGGCGGGGTAATCAATTGATGGGCCTCGCGAGGAGAAGGCGGCCACTTTCGGGGCCAGTATGCCCTTGCCCGTGACGGTGCGTGCTGGTTCAATCTTTGCCAGGCGAGGAGAGCTACATACAAAACAAAATCAAAGGATAACAAAATTGACTGTACATACGACACGGCTATGCATGCAAGGCTGTACATAGGACTGGTTCCGTCGACGACCCTGATTATTTATTGACGAACCTGCATATCTATCTATATTGGTCGATCATGAAATGTTACCTTGAGTCCATGCAATATTGGTGCATCTTGTTCCCGACATCGGGGTCGACGAGAACGCACGCGATGCCCGTGCAGTAATACGGGATGACTTCTAAGGCATCCGTGGTGCGTTGCACGAAGATGAGCCCAGATCCCCCATGGTCCACCACGTACGTGGACGCCTGGATGAAAACCCCCTGTGGATTGAAAGTGGCCTGCGCCTCTTTGTAGCAGAGCAGGATTATCCCAGTCAGTTCCTCGCCAGAGAATGCCTCCTCGAGCGCCTCCTTGGTGCAGCTAAACACAAAAGCAAATTCAAGGTGTTTTTTATATCTTCAATTTTGCATCTTTGGCGTCGCGCGCATGAATAAAATTAATGACCACGGTGCATATCCTTTTGTTTTCTCAACTTACGTTGATATACATGCAAGAGACGCGAAATTGCTCCGGGATGATGAGTTCTTGGGTTGGTAATAGAGAGACTGTCCCTGCAGAAATTTCCAGGCAGCGCTAATTTCATTAGGAGCAGTACGACTATTAAGTCGTGCGGCATGGCGCACTAGCTACAGTATATATATACTCCACTGCTTACCACCATCTGTTGCTTGTTTCCCAGCGTGACCACCGTCGGGAACGAGCGGTCCAGCTTGCTCGCCGCGACGGTAATGCCCCACGGCGAGCTGTTCGCGACCGTCTGGGCCCGGGGCCCATCGTTACCGGCAGACATTACCACGGTGATCCCTTTCTGGACCGCGTGCAAGGTGGCAAAGGAGTAGTCGTCTGAGCCGTCGCGGGACGCGAGGGACATTGACAATACGTCCACCCCGTCATGGATCGCGTCGTCGATGGCGGCTAGCACAGACGCCGTGGAGCCAGTTTCATCCACGCTCCAGAGTGATTTGTACATTGCGATGCGAGCGCGTGGCGCGCCCCCGCGTGCCACCCCTGCAGCAAGGCCGTGGAAGCTGGCCACCTCCTCCTCCACGGTGGAGCCCGCAGCAGTGGAAGCCGTGTGCGTGCCATGGCCGTTGTGATCCCGGGGCGAGAGAGAGTCCGCCTTTAAGTATTTGTCGGCGATCCCAACGGTATAGAACCTTGCGCCGATGATCTTGCGGCTGCAATTGTTGTTGCCCCAATCGGGCCCAACCTGGCACTTTCCTTTCCACCTTGATGGCACCGGCCCGTACCCTTGGTCACTGAAGCTTCTAGACTCCGGCCATATCCCTGATTCCATTAATTAGTTACATTTCTGGAAAAAAAATTGGAAGGAGGCCTGCCGGCCACCACTGTAAAAAATATACTCCCTTCGTCCGAAAATACTTGTCATCAAAATGGACAAAAGGGAATGTATCTAGAACTAAAATACATCTAGATACGGCTTTTTTTATTCATTTTGATGACAAGTATTTTCAGACGGAGGGAGTACCAGACATGGTAAAAAGAAAAGCTTGCACTTATTGTACTAACCGGTGTCAATCACGCCAATGATTATATCCTCTCCGTAGTTGCTTGCGTGCAGTAACTCACTGGCCGGCATATGGGAGGACGGATAATGGAGCCCAAGAAAATCCCAGCTCCGCGTGGTGGTGCTCCTGTACGTCTTGCTCGGTTGAACGCTGATGACTCCCGGAAATTCTGCACACGGTTCATACCAGGAAAAGAATGATATTTTGGTTTTGGCACCTCCAGTTAAACTTTCAAAACTGCCAAATGTTTTGAATATTCACATTGGTAACATGGGGAAACAATATATATAGATTTGTCTCAAAAGTATTCTCACAATATTATTATTTTTAGATTGTGTTATATCTTGAAGTCCATGCCAATATGAAAACTGTCACCCTATTTTTGAACTAGAGATAGTAGTATTATGCTAGGAAAACGGAGATGACCTGCAAGCCTTGTTGCTTGGTCCGCGGTGAGCATGGCGGCGAAGCCCGAGAAACCATGCTTGTAGTGGTAGACCATGGAGGCTGAGGAACCCTCCCTGCTAGAAAAGCTCAAAGTGGTGAGTGCTACCAAGGGCCGGCCTCCTATTAATTAATTCCGTTCTTCCTACAAAGTAGCTCCTTGCTAAACAGCTCAAACCTTTGGAGAAGAGTGCCGAGCATTTCATGGTGAGAGGCGACGACATCGTCCGGGTGCTCGTGCTTCACGTCGCCTAGGTACGCGATGTAAAGCTAGAGAGGCACACAGATATGAATACATGGTTAACTACTACTCCAGCTAGCTAGAAACACATACCGTCACACAATCATGCTTACCTCGCGAGAACGAGATCCTCCTGCGTGCACTCTGGATAGCACCACGCAGAAGCAAAGCAGCAGCAACGAGGCTGCCCGTAGTGGGTGTGAGGAACAGCACATGAATCCCATGTCGTCGATCTTACTTAGTGGTACTGGTATCCCTAATCAGTCAGTGTGCCAGCGACTCTATGTGGCATGCACATCGGCGCTTATTGATACGCAGGGGCTGTGTGGTGGTACTAGTATTTATAGACACCGCGCACAGTGGAGTGGCCTAGGGGTGAATTAGTGAACTGCTCAACTCGTTAAGCTCGTGCTTCCTAAGCTCGTTAAGATTATAAGAAAAATCCTTCTTGAATCAGCTCGTTTGAAGCTCTCATTAAGCTCGTGAGCCTTGTTAACACACATTAGCACAAACACCTAATAAACATTCAGATTACCCATAATTTGGACCACAAAATTGAATGATAGATTCTGGAAGGAACCTTACAATGGCCTGTTCAACATATTTTTTCCTGGACTCCAAGTGTCCAGGAGTTCTACGCCGCCGTAGGTAATCGTAAAACTCGTTAGGCCCAATTTATTAAGGACAAAGTTACGAGCTTAAGGAACCAAATTGACAAGTACTCCCTTCGTCTCGAATTACTTCTCTTAAATTTGTCTGGATACTGCTGCATCAAGGACACATTTGAGTGTTAGATATATCCATATGGAGACAAATCTAAAACAAGTAATTTAAGATGAAGGTTGTACTTATTAAGCTCGCGAGCTTCAAGCTTTTTGTCCACCCTAAAGTGGATGTAGCTATGTATTCTGCCTGTCATGTCACGCTTGGGTCCTGCCTATCCGATCTTGCCCACGCCGAGAAAGTTTATAATGAAGTAAATAAGCTCTCCAAAAAAAAAAATACACTGTCCTCTATTCTGTTGCCAAACATACACTGGCATATACTTGGGGCACAAAATAAGCTCTACAAAACGTTTTTATATTATGGGACGGAGGGAGAACGTTCTTATATTATGGGACGAAGGGAGTAGTAAGCACTAGGCCTGTTGGATGGTCATGTATGAGATTCTGACGTGGGGACCAAAAAGTGGTTGAAAAACAGGAGAAACATTTGGCACATATGGTTGCCGCATCTCAGCTTTACCAGAAGATGGTCATCACCATCGCCAGTGCCCCAAGCGAGTGCGCTCCTCCTTTTTCTGGAAATCTTGCTCTTGCCCGTTAAGGTATGCATGTTGTACAAACAAAGAAAATTCACCGTCGGTGGCACTGCCGCTCTCCGATGGCCACCTGCTAGGCCTACCTTGCCTGACGGTTATGGCATGGAGTATATGGGATTAGTGGACCGAAAGTACTCGTCTACACCTGAGCTCAAATGAGCATGGGTGAACAGTAAAATCAAAAAATATTTAAAAAAATAAAAAAAATTCTGTTTTTTTAGTGATAAACGTCGACAAAAGTTCGCAATGTTTGCAAAACTTCATTGTGAAAAGACATTGGTTGAAGCCATGGCAAAAAAACAAAAAAATCATCACTCCAAAATGCTTTTGGAAATGACATTATTGGTGCATCAATTTTTTTTGCCACGGCTTCTACAAATATCATTTCACAATAAAATTTTCCAAGCATTGAAAACTTCTGTCAATGTTTATCACTAAAACATTTTAGGATTTCTTAACTTTTTTTATTTTACTGTCCACCGGAGCTCATACGAGCTCATGCTAAGAAACTCCCTGTCCTTAGTGGACTTGCTTTTCTTCTCCCGCCTCTCGGTGGTGCTGATAGAGAGCACAGGTGGCCGCGCCAGGTTGTTGCGCGCCCCACTAACCACTCGAAAATATTCTCCCGGCACAAGTGCACAACAGTTCACACACCACAATGTCGACGCCATGATAGTTATGTAACTTGTGATGTATAGTTTAAAATTGGGGAAGAATTTCACTTGCTCGGCCTTCACATCAACTAGCGATCACTATTAGGGAAAAGTCTAGCAGTAGCGCTGGTTTTTGGCTAGCAGTAGCGCTGGAGCCCTCGCTACTGCTAAGACGCTGTAGCTAACTTGTAGCAATAGCGTGTGTTCGCCAGCGCTACTGCTATACCTACTTAGCAGTAGCGCTTTTTGTGGAACGCGCTACTAGTAGTTACTAGCAGCGCCGATCTAGCCCGCGCTACTACTATTATTACGTATTTTATTTTTTTCTTTTATGTCTTATCCATACACTGTTATACAAGTTTTCGTATAGTAGCAATTTAGAGATTGTTATTATATCATAATGAGTTATTATATCATTGGTTGAAAGAACCGCGGATTAGTTTCAAGTGGATGGATCCAAAGTGACCACGATGGATCGTGGTCACTTTGGATCCATCCACTTGAAACTAATCCGCGGTTCTTTCACCTAGTGATATAATAACTCATCATCATCATCATCATTATCATCATCATAATATCATTAACAACTTATCATCATAATACATCATTGTCATATAACAACTCCTCCTCATCATCATTTTCTTCCATGACATCATATAACAACTTGATCACTACTCATAATCACAACTCCTTCTCCTCCTCATCATCAACTCTAACACATTGTTGCACATAATAACAACTTAGGACCTACTCCTCATCATCATAGTCATAATCAACACTAACTAATTCTTCTTAATACTTAGGACCTACTCCTCTCTACTAGGTAAAATACCATAAAAAAGATAAACCGGTCCATCTCCAACATGGAGAATGGAGATAAACCTATCTCCAACTTGTGGCTTGCGCACATTCATGTTGTCTCTAACTAGTTGTGTGGGCGTAGTCATCACTTTGCTCCATTCTTTGATTTTGAGCCTTCCATCATTTGAAGAAATGGAGTATGCACTATGGCAAGCCTTCGAAGGAGTTGGTCGTAAGCTAACCATATGCATATCACCTTCGATAAACATCATGTCAGGCACAACCTCCTTCGGGAGCCTCTGTTGAAAAACGTAATAGTAACATATATAGTTAGCGATGTAGTTTACTTAAGAAGAATGTATGCAATGAAGTTACCATCATTAACAAAATCTTATCAAGTTTTTGGCAATGAAGTTACCATCAAGCAATTTATAGACTAGTGGCACGTATGTAGTAAAATTCGGGCTGATAGAGTGATTGGTTTTAAAGGCAGTAGCTAGATGGCTTTCTCTCTCTTTTTGTATCTCAATACAATGGTCTCTTGGAGATCTATTTGATGTAGTGACTTTTTATGGTGTGTTTGTTGGGATCCGATGAAGTGTGAGTTTATGATCAGATTTGCTTTGATTTAATATCCATTCTTGATTACAATAGCCTCGTACTTCTTCTTCGATACTTGGGTTTTGTTTGAGCAACTTGATTTATTTGTCTTGCAATGGGAAGAGGTGCTTTGTGATGGGTTGGATCTTACAATGTCCTTTCTTAGTGACTGAAGGGGGAGCAAGACACATATTGATTGTCTCTATCAAGGATAAAACGATGGGGTCTCGCTATAAGAAATCTGTTAATACACGACGAATCTAGTCCGTCACAGATCAATGGGAAACTGTCATGGGTTCCCATCCTTGACGGATCCGAAATCCGTCATGTATATCGCGTCATAATTTGATATGGCACCTTGCGTGATGGCTCTTGGCCGTCATGGATCTGCCCCAAGCCCGCCCAGGCCCAAACCATTGTGACGGAACAATCCGTCATGGACTAACGCCACGTAGGATTTTCAGTTGACCAATTCGAATGATGTGGAGGCATACGTGTATACTATTTTTCGTCACATGAATCGTCATGGATTTTGGCACAATTTAGAGGGCGATTTAAATTTGGCTGGGCCCATTTCCTTTGGACAAAATTTGACCTAGTACGTTGTTAGCATTATGCATTAGCCAAATCTTGCCAATTTTAGCCCAACAAAAAAGTATTTGCAAAGTGACAAACATTACACAGTTTATGCTGCCATCTACAAAATAGCAGTTTACGAATCATCTATGAAATGATAACTTGTAGCATAGATTGACAAACTATATCACAACATATATTGACAATATATATCACAA